AAAAATTACAAGATGGAATTTTTCAGACCAGCAGCTAATGTCATACTAAGGCTGAATCAATTTTGAATCAATTTTATTCTCATAATCTGCTTTAAATGACTGCTTTCCATCAATTCATTCAATTTCTTTCCTCTCTCTCTCCCTTTCTCCCCCTCTCTCTCCCTCTCTCTCTTCCTTTTTTTTCAATTACCAATTTCATTTTGATATTTTTTTTTTGTTTCAATTTCGATTTTAATTTTAATGTTAGTCTAAATCCAACTATTATTGGTATTTTCACATAACTACCATCGATAACAATTGCTTCTTTTTTGCGTATTTCAAAAGAGAAAGACGGATGATGAATGAAAATATATCATATCATGTTTGTTGTACAATCAGGAAACATAAATTTTTACCGATTTTTCTTTATCCGATCTTTTTTTTTCCTTTTTTAGTGCCCTTTTATTAATTACTGATTAAATTAGTATTTGAAAATTTATTCAAATTACTTCTATAAAGAAAAAAAAAGAGAGAGAGAGAAAAAAAAGAAACAAAGATGGAAGATATGAAGTATATTCCTTATTGATTAATTTAATTTTTGCAAGAAAAAAATGATTTAAATTGTAGTAATTTTAGCAAAAGGAGTAAAACCAATGGTTATTAATTTATTAAATGCAAAATAATTAAGTTAAATTCAATAATTTTGATTATTACAAAAGAAAAAGTTCGGCAAACACTAGAAATTGAATAATTTGATATGTGTATTATATTGAGAAATTGAATTCTTAACAGAATCATAAAAATTGCACGCAAAAATGATTGACAATTGAAATTTTCCTTTTCAGATTTCCAAATTTTCTCATTTTTTTTCTTTTTTTTTTTTCAAATTGCTAACAATAGCATTTGTAATTAAGTATATCATATCGAAGTTTTCATTTATACTTTTATTTGTATTGAAATATTCCGCCTACAATAAGAGATGCGCAATTGAATGATTCTGCGCACGAAGATTTTACATTTTCGTAATGATGATATTAACTTTTGTAAACTAAGTTATAAATTCGAATAAAGGAATTATTTGGGCCTAATTACAAGAAAAAGAAAAGAAAAATGAAAAATGATATCTAATCCTTATGAAATAAAAACAAAAAATAAAGCATAATTCGAATTTTACTAAATAATTTTTACAGTCAAGCTTTAATAAAAAAAAAAACGAAAAAAAATAAAATAATAAAAAACAAAAAGACAAAGAAATAATAATGATACAACAATTAATTAATATGCTGTAATAATAACAATAATGATTAAAACAAATGAAATTGTCGTATTTAAATTTAAAAATTTGTTATTTCAATAAAAGAAAAAGAAAAAAAAGGCGAGAAAGGTGTGAAAGGAATATAGCAATGATTATAGCTGTAATTTTCCTTATCCAATTGATAGGAATAAAATAATAACTAAAATTTACTTCCGATACCAAGGCATATAATAAAAAGCTGTACATGCTACTTCAGTTTTAGCAATAAGCGCCTATCGTCTGAATGTTTCCAAGGTAACGTTTTAAGAGTTATTAAAAAAGGAAAAAAGGTGAAAAATTTTTACCATAACAACAATTTCAAACACTTTGATTACATGTCTGATCTCTCGTCGCCTTTTTTTTTATCCATTTTCTTTTTTTTTTTTTTCCCCCCTTCCTCAATAAACTAATAGCAAAATTAGAAAAAGAAAAAAAAAATTGGAAAATGTATTCTTTAAAAGTTTTTTTTCAAAAAAAAAAAAAAAAAGAAAAAGAAGAGAAAGAAAATTTTTGTTTTATTGAAATGTAACAAGTTTCATAAATTTGAAAGACATCGAAAAAAAAACTGAAAAATTATTAATTTGTAATTTCCACAAAAAAAAAAAAAAAATAAAAAAGGAAAGAAAAAGAAAACTAATCAACTTTCGTCTTATTTTGCCATATTTTTTGCTGTTTGCCAAACATTTTTAACTGTAAATGAAATGAATTAAACTATTTTTTACTAATTTCTTTGAAGTGAATGAATAAAAATTTAGGTAATAATGAAATTATGCATTAGTCAAACAGATTAAATGTATT